TTTTGCTGCTCGGGGAAAGATATCTTCTGCTCTAAGAAATATTTTAGGCTTTTATGGTCGATCTTAATTTGAAAGCGTCGCCCGATCAAGTATGGTCTCCATTTGGTCACCGCATGCACAATCGCGAGTATCTCCTTATTGTAAATAGTCATCTTGAGATGGAAAGGAGATAATGCCTTACTAGTATAAGCAAGGGGGTGGTCATCTTGCATTAGTACAACACCAATTCTGACTCCGAAGGCATCGACTTCAATAACAAAAGTCTTGCTGAAGTCAAGTAGAGCTAGTACGGGTGTTATCGTCATTGCGGCTTTAAGTTCGTCGAAGGTGATGGTGGTTTTGTCCGACCATTGGAAAGCATCTTTTTTCAGTAAGGAAGTAAGAGGTGCACTGGTCTTTCCATAGTCTTTCACGAACTTGTGGTAGTAGCCTGTTAAACCGAGAAAGCCGCGTAGCGATTTTATGTTTCTCGAGGTCGACTAGTTCTATATTGCTTCAATTTTGGAGGGGTCCACTGCCACACCTTCCTTTGATATAATATGCCCAAAATATTCCACCTTATGTTGAAAAAAACTACACTTTAATTTTTTGACAAAAAGAACATGTTCTCGTAAAATCGTCAAAATAAGTCGTAAGTGTTGAAAATGACTTTCAAAAGAAGGGTTGTAAATAAGGATATCGTTGAAGAAAACCATCATAAACTTACGAAGATAATTCTGGAAAATATCATTTATAAGGCTTTGGAAGGTGGAGGGGGCATTGGTGAGACCAAATGGCATTACCAAAAATTCGTAGTTGCCGTTGTATGTTTGAAAGGCGATTTTTGGTATGTCTTCTTCACACACTCGTATTTGATGATACCTGGATCGAAGGTCTAGCTTTGTGAAGACTCATGCTCCCTTTAATTCATCAAGCAATTCATCTACTACTGGAATATGATATTTTTCCTTGACGATTATGCCATTGAAAGCTCGGTAATCAACGCATATTCGCCATATTATGTCCTTTTGTACGAGGAGCACCGATGAAGAGTAGGGGCTGCAACTTAGCCGAATAACTCCTATTTCAAGCATCTCTTTTACAATCATATTTATTTTCTCCTTCTGAAGATGTGGATACTGATATGGCCGAGTATTTACTGGAGGTTTGCCCGGAAGAATCGGTATACAATGATCATGCCGACTGGTAGGAGGTAGGTTGCGCAGTTCGTCAAATATATCTAAAAATTCAGCAAGCAAAGGAAGTAGGTTTGGATCTTCAAATTTTGTTGGCTCTCCCTTAGTTTGCTGCTTAAGTTATACTAAAAATCCTTTGTATGCTTTGTGCAAAACCTTCTCCATTCGTTGTGTGCAAATTGTCATTACATCACCCCCACGTTTCCCATGCAGTATCACATGTTTCCCCTTACTGTAAACTTTCATAATTAGTTTCACAAAATTTTAGAAAACATCACCTAATGTCATCAACCATTCGATGCCAAGCACGGCCTCATAATCATCAAGAGAGAGGAAGAAATCTGTAATTATCTCTTGGTCTTGTAGCAATAGTTTCACCTACGGGCACCTATGATCATACTTCAAAATCCGTCCGTCGGTGACCTTAATGTCAAACCTGCTATAATTCTCAATAGGTAAGGCCATTCGGACAGAAACCTTGTTGTTTATAAAATTATTAGTGCTCCCGATATCAATAAGAATGGTGATAGGTTGTTGCTTCAGAAGTCCTCCCACTTTCATCGTTTGCGGGTTCGCGTAACTGACAAGGGCATACATCGTAATATCAACTAGTTGTTGTTCTTCATCCGCAACCTCTTCCTTATGCTCCTGGACCTCCTACTACATGTCTTCAAGAGGTTCAATCAGTAGGAGTGGCCCCTTTTGCAGTGATGATCGCGGTTCCACGGCTCGTCGCAATGCCAACAAAGACCCTTTGCTGATCGGTCACATAGTTCTTCTCTTATCAATTTTTTTGGCAGTGAAGGACGGTTGGGAGCAAAAGGAGGTTTATATGCCATGGGCCTAGGAGAGGTTCTCATCCTCCGAGCATCTTGGTTGAGCTGTTCTTCTTGTATTCAGGCGAAAGAAATCGTAACTGTCACGTTACGGGGCTACTATGCCTTAACCTCCCCTTTTATCTCTAGCTTGATTCCTTCAATGAATGTTCCTAACAATTAATAGTCAGTCCAATCACGAACAAGGTAGCTTCTTAAACCTAGTTTGGTACTCTTGAATTGTAGAGGTTTGTCGAACTTTGTGAGTTGGCCATCGATATTTTCATACTCCATAGGTCTGAAACGATTCAGCAGTGTGTTCTTAAATTGATTCCATGTCGGAGCCCAATGATTGTATTCCAGCCAATTGTACCATTGAATAGAATCTCCTTCAAGGTGGATGACAGCAATTTCCACCATAGCATCATCCGATGTTCGGTAGTAGCGAAACTAATGTTCGGCACATGAAATCCACCCCGTCGGGTCTCTTTCTTCCCATCGCGGGAAGTCCACCCTCATGCGTAGCTAAAGCATGTCTAAGGGCTGTCCCTCCTTCTCTGGAGGCCTCTCTGAACTATCTCCTCGCTGAAATTTGGTTGGACGTGTAATTTGTCCTCCAAGCGCGATTCAAGCTGCGATTCAATCCGAGATTCCAATGCTTCAAATTTGGAATCAATTGGATCTTAAGAAACCATAGCATATGCTTGTAGAACAGAGATGTCCTTATCTTTTTTCTGTTGATGGGTTAATGGCATGGGGTGGTAGAAGGTTCAGAAAAATTGAGGATCACGAAAAGGTACTGTAATAGATTTTTACGTCTAAAGTATAATAGTTTGGACGTAAAAGGTCAATGGTTTATATTGAGAATTTTTTGACGAAACCAAAGAAAAATCCAATGTTAGGAAGTGTCAAAGCTATTGTAAAAATTTCATAGAGATTTGGACAAAAAAAACGTAGTAGCAAGATCAAACAAACTGTGCTATGCGGTTGAAATTCTGTAGTGCATCTTTCGTCGCAGAGATAAAAACTTTGCGACGAAAAGTTTTTGCAGCAATATAGAAACAATTATTTTTTAGATTTTTGAATAAGGATAACTAAATTACAACAGCAATAAGGTAGGAAATCATAACCTATTGCAATTCACGGGGAGATCAAAGGATGATCCGCGGTGGTGGAGATGATGATGGAATTCGACGACGATCTTTTAAGCAATTGTGGGAATTGCTTTGGTCAGTTGTGGAGGGCTAATAGATGATTGTGGAAGGACAGTGAGATGCCAAGAACACTGCTTTGATACCAAGTGTTAGAACCTTAGCGAATTTTAAGCTTGGGGTTGATCTCTTTAGGGGATCGGCATCCTTAGAACTTTATCGGAGTTCCTTCCTCAAGGTTACTGCTCAAAGACTGCTAAAAAGATTCATCTATTCCTTAAGAAAAGAGGATGAATACATGACTCTAAACCCCAACTCCTAATATGACTCCTACTTATAACTCCTACTTCTAACCAGCTCCTAATAAGACTCTCATACTTCTAACCAACTCCTAATGCTTCTCTAAGAAATAATCTCCATTTATAACTCCTACTTCTAACCAGCTCCTAATAAGACTCTCATACTTCTAACCAACTCCTAATGCTTCTCTAAGAAATAATCTCCAAACTAATCCTAACCTTAGCCGACCTCTTCACTAGGTCGATTAGGTAGATTTTACATAAATACTCCTTTCAATTAAACTCAATTAGAATTCTCCTGACTAAAGTCCTAACATGAAGCCCATCCGCTTAGGGGACTAACCGGAACAATCATAAGTTTCACACCGACCCTAAATTGGTAAGGTTCAACGCCATCACCATCCACCGTTGATTTCATGCGGCTAACCCGCTTGGCAGCATCCATGGTATCGGATTGTCCATCATGCACTATCCATAGCGTAGGACTGTCCACCATCCACCGGAAAAGTTGGTATCTGTGATGCCTTCTGAGCAACGTATGTCGGCTATACAAGGGACGTTGTATATCAAGGAACATAACCCAATGATTCTTTGGTTTTACACCAACTCTGGGTAAAGAACTAAAGAAATCTACCAAAACAATTGTACCACATATCGGACAAATAAAAAAATGGCTTCAAGGGGGGCAAAATTGCGCCCCGCATTCTTGCTACATCAACAAGCGCCTAAACAGAATAAATCAACCGACGCACCAGCACAAGCATAAAAGTTGCTACGTTTTCGCCTTATACAACAATAATTTTGGGCATCATACAAAAAGACTACAAGTTCATGGCATAAGCAGCTTTTGGTAATCACCTGCACTCCACCCACTGCATAAACTCATTACACATTTGTCAAATGCGTCGAGCAATCAAATATTGTTCATGCCACAATTCTATCGACAGCAAAACAACATTCCTTCCACAACAGCTACTTTGACATCCATGCAAATGAACAAAATCTACCTCACTTTTAAAAATGATTCAGAAAAAACTCAATACTCTGTACAATTATGCCATCATTTTGCTCCAAAATACAAAATTATAATGACGGTTAAGTACTGGATTTAGAGATCTTAAATAGTAGAAGCATCCATCTCCAATTCAGCACCAAAAGGATCTGATTGGAATAAACAAATAAGCTGCTATTCTGAATACATGGAATTAAATTCGGAGATCATCTCTTGAAGGACTCTGTGCTAATTTGATGATTTTGAAGGATGCAGACGAACTCAATGACTCCATAAAGTAAAACCATAATAAATGGATGCCATGAGGCACAGAAATCAGGAAAACATATATAATTGAACTTATTTAGCAGTGAACTAAATGAAAGCTAAACAACCCAAATAGTAACATCCACCGCAAAATGCCAAACATACTCAACAAGTGAAGCAAAATTTAGCAGTGAACTAAACATTCATCAGCAGACTAATCAAGGCAAAGCAATAAAAGAATATACAATCTTCGGAAACCCTGATAGAGCTTGCTACTTATTTAGCCATATAGAAATATGACATGCACAACGATGAGAAACTCATTTACCAACAGAAAGAATGAAACATCAGCAGCTAGGTGGTTTAATGCTCAGAAACTTTTTGGGATGTAACATCACAAACCTAGCCCAAAAAGCCACCATACTTAATTTATAATATGAAGAAATTTTACAAATTCAACAAAACAAAAGATGACAATGAGAAAAAAAAAGACAATCATCCAAAGAAAAGGAACTATTTACATCTTTTACCTAAGTATGATTATTTGTGAGAGCCCCCAGTGATGATGCAGGAATTTTGACGACGTGCCAAGCTCATTGGAGGCTAATAAACACTGAGATACAAATTTCACATGCAGAGCCAGAGGCTTATGTACCCAAAATGTGATGATCTGTAGTAGCTGCAGTTATCAGCTCACTTGTTCATCAGGTAGCTATAACCATGTTCCTTGGTTAGAGGTCTGCATGTTCTAAATGAAACTCATAGCAGCTAGTTATCTTGCTTGGTAGCTATCATCTGCATAAATAGATACACAGGCATCGGCTGCACCAGCAGCAAGTAGCACTCTGTATGGATGGAAAGTGAGGCAGCTAACAGAACCTATTCTCTGAGCCATAAAAGTAGGGTAATATCTAATGATGCTTAGCTGCTCTCCTCTTAGGCTGAACACCTTCACAATCTGCTTGGCTGAGCCGCTCGCAATGATTGGGGCATGACGGTGAATCGCCAAGGCAGTAAGTGAGCCCCTATGTGCATCAATAGTGAGATATGGCTCAGTTTGGTTTCTTATATCCAGAAATTGTATATCCCCAGCTTGAGATGCACTGACAATCTGCATTTAAATAAATAAACATAGACCAACATATTTTACGCACAAGATATCGACAAAATTTAGTCGACATGTACATCAAATAGAATATCCAACTAGAAGTAAGACTGCACACTTAAAAATGAATAAAAGAAACAATAAACAATTTTCTGACCTTAGTCGGATCAAGTCCAGGTTGAAAACCAATACCAACAACTCTTTCCACTCTTTGGGTATGTGGTCTTGCTGTGCAAACAGGCCTACAAGACCAGATGTGATACTTCAGAAAGAATGCAAGAAAGGATACTCCAGACAGTGGATAGGAATAAGTAAGACAGCCTTCCTAGACAAACTATAAACATGATCCATATAATGTTTCTTACCACAAAGTTAGTCAAAAATAAGTGTAAAACCTCAAACCATAAAGTAATGTTACAAGTTCTGCAGAAATCCCATGTACTTCATCAAATGATCAAAATTTTGAGAGCATAAGTACAAACATAAAAACCCAACTGCATAATAAATAAACTATTATGCAGCCATGCATGAACTTTTAAGGCTTCATATGTGCCTTTGTGCAGTTGCATCTTATATGCAGCCCAACCATGCAGATAGCTGCATGCTGCTACCACATATGACATATGTGATGTGGTTTACTCACTCTTCACTGAAATGGGGCTGCATAAACCTTTTTTAAAACTACAACACAACTGGATTAAATAGGACAAGTGATATTATAGGACAAAACACCAGGCTAATTATCATGCAACTACATATGTGATTCTCACATTTCCGGAGTGCGAACATCAAATATTCTGATAGAACCATCAACAAAACCAGCAGCAAATTGACCCCCATGGACTTGAGAAGCAGACTGCAAGAGAAGAACAGACTCAGAGACATCACCATACAGACAATCAAAGCATAGAACAAATAAAGAAAAATATAAAAGTTATAGTCACAAGGAACAAGTTAAAAAATCTAAAGTAATTAAGCTGAGCAATAATGGATTGCCAAGTACCCAAATATATAGCTTCAATAATGTGTAAAATTTTCTTCAACCTCATACATATAATAGAAGATCAAAATTTAATATCTCCTCGAATAGTTATGAATGTAGTTCTAGAGAATAAAAACCCAGAATCTGCAAATTTAGGTATTTTGATAAACTATGATACAGGTATTTTTCAGTGAAAGTAATCTTACTGTAGAAAGCAGTGTATGAGAAGAACATACTTGAGCTTTCTGCCACTCCCACATCAACACAACAATGAAGTTGGAACCAGAAAAATTGAACCAACTTGCACAACAATGAAGCATCCAACCAGTTGCAACCAGATGAAAACAAAGAGTAATATCACTTCAAATTTTAAAATAATGATGTCATCAATTCACAAAGGAGTTATAAGTTACTATTTTGCTTGTTAATATAACTCTGACTAAGATTCAAATATCAAATTTGATTAAAAAAATTTACATGTTTCAGAATTAAGTTGAAAACTGCTCATAACTTAATTTAAAAAATGGATGCATAAATATATATATATATATATATATATAAACAGAACAATAGATTATATTTCACATTTATATAAATGTATCATAACTTTTGGAACTGCCTATTATTGTTCATATTAACTGCTAGTTGCTTGCTGATAAACATACAAATGCAGTAATCATGACTCATGAGGAAGAGAATTTAAAGAGTGGAATAAAGACATGCAGAGAGATGAGCGGCACATGGTGCCATTCATAGTAGATCAGCTTTTCAAATGTGATATTATAATTACCAAATAGTGAATCAAACAGAAATACAGGGTGTAGGAGAGACAAGCAACATAAACTCCTAGAAACTTGAAGGGTCAAAATTTCTTGTTCATTTTTTATGTCCCCAGAAGAAGGAAGCCGCTGCCAAGGAACCATCCCAGTCTCGCATATACTATGGAGCATGGACAACTTAGTTTATGAATTAATATCCTAGAGAAAATGTACTAGATGAGAACAACCACCCAAACTATAAAGTATATAAAATTTAGCATACTTGAATAATCTCATGTCTTGAGAGTTAGCAAGTCTAAACGTGAACAAAGAGAAAATCTACTTGACACTTCAAAAGTAGCTTAACAAAGGATTCAAAGGTTTAGACATAATGATTCTTCTGAGAAAATACATCAACACAATCAGCCTATCACATTTGCCACACGTATGATGCATGCCCTAGCTATTGACTTGAAGAAGGGAGAGCACTGAAACCTTTGAATCTAAAGATATGCATTTAATCACGGATGGTACCAACTTCAACTGGCAAACCTCATGCTTTGGGAACAATACATTGCCTCCTGTCGCATACTCTTAAGACTGTTTCTTGCATCAGGTTTTAAAGGTGAAACTAAAAGATCAAAAGGTAGAACTAAAGATTAAAAGGTTTGCACAAGTCCGTTAACCGAAACTGCAAACTGTTGTCAAGAAATATTCCAATTTAGGAACTATCTTGGTGATGAATATTCAAGTAGAAAAACTACCAACACCCAGCGATCCATGCAACTCCTTGGGATTCTGCGAAGTTCATACTCCACCAAATTCGCAATTAACTTCTATATATATTAAGCTTTACCAAAGAAATTCAATAAAAAGGAATGATTTAACAATTCAATGACAATGAAAGAAGCCCAACATTTCCACTTTAGTACACCTAGAAACTCCACATGTACTAATTGCATGTAGCACAAGAGTCTAACTCATGAATGGAGGAAACTATGCAATTAACATCATGATCTCCAGTTTTGGCTACAAGATCTGAATTCTGGGAAGAGGGGAAATATACCAGCCCAGAATTCAGGTTGAGAAGTCATCCTAGTTCCTCTTTAGTTAAGATTCTATAAACAAATATACATCCCATCCAACCACATCCACCATGGCCAAGAGCACCATGCACATGACAACAAAAATATACCAGGATAATAATCAAATTCTAAACACTTATAATGAAGAATTGTAGGTAAAGAAAACTGATATTAATAGCAAAGGCTTAACAAAACTTCCTTAAAAGAGAAACACAGGACAACCGGGATTTCATACGAATTAAGCTACATGCCTATGCTACAAGTAATTCCAAGAATCACTTTTAGTCAACTATACAAATAAGAAGCAAGAAAGCCCTCACCAGTGCTGATATGCTGCTATCAGATAATGATGGAATAGAGCTGACAAGTTGCTCTTTGTCCAGATCCCAAAGCAAGATAGATGATATCTCACCAGAGGCATACTAATTAAGTCAAATAAATAGTGTCAGAACCACATGCATCACAAACTGCAAGATATTCACACAAAGTGGTTACAAATTGGGAAACATAGTACCAAATAACCAGATTGCTGCTGCCAGTCCACTACTGCATTTGTACCGCGAGCAGCACCTCGATGACCTTGAACTGAAGAAAATGCAGTTATGAGCTTCTGCTTCCCCTTTACAGTGTAATTTTTCCAAAAGCGAACATTTCCATCACCTGCATTACACATGAATAACCCAACCACAAGTTTATAATGTGCTGTTCTCTACTAAAACTACAGCTGCTGCTCAATCACAGGAGGCTTACTCGAAGCAACTAGAAGCAAACTGTCGTCAAGTTCATTCACAAGACACAACTTAGATATTCCTCTATCAGAAGAATCATGATTATCAAAGCTGTTCAATGGAGTAGCTTCTTCATAATTCCATATCCTGTGAACAAATTCAGTTTTAGGATAAAAAGGATAATGTAATCTCAATGGCCAAGACAGGAAATTGATAAATATTTCAGATCAGTAACTGATATTCAGCAAGGAAATTAGTAAATATTTCATATCAATATCTGGCATTTAGAAGTACAATTTACTGACCAATTGTTTAAAACTTTTATTAGAACAGGAACTTTATATGCTAAGCATTGAAAAGGCCACATGATTCTTGAAATATTGACCTTATTATCATCAAGTACAAAATACTATACTGTGGCCCAAAAGTTAAGGCCCTAAAACAAACCACACAGACTTCCTAGTGAGGAGAAACACAAGGAAACTCATAGAAGTCCATAGTGGAACTGCCACAATAAGAACTTCTCTTATAATGAGCCTGTTACTACAAATATGCAACAAATATACTATGTATCATACACTAATGTCTCACTAGAACTCAAAATCATAAACAGACATTGAAAAGTTAGAACATGTATACTGCATTCCTATAATAAATATACATAAAGAAAAGGAAAACCATACCCATCTTATAAACCTGCAAAAGGAAGGGGCAACGAGAGAATATGTTAAGCAGCATCAGTTCTACAGTACCTCTTTAAGCAACATTGAGTTTGCATCTACGTATAGCTTGTCCATAATAGTAGATTAGATCTAAACAATGGAGACCAACACTACCACAACTAAGAGCTTACACACAGAATCTGAGAGAGAATGAGAGAGAGAGAAAGAAGTTCTATGCTGATCATTTTTCTATTGGGGCTAGGCATCCTGCAATCCTTTCTACACCTGCAAGCTGGTTAATTTAAGCATAGAACCAAGCCTGATCCTAGGATCCAATTCACATCATAATGATGAACCAAGAAGCACTCCAAGTATTAGCAGGGCCTAGTTTCACCAGAGATATTTCTAGGTTCAACAGGTCATTCAAGTGACCACACCTCACTTGAATGTCCTACATCAACTACATCAAGGCATATTTCTCAACAAAATAACATTGAAAAGTTGATAATGATGAACTCAGAAAAGGACCAACATATTGAGATTTTGGTTCCAAAGCTTTTCAAGCAGAGTTATCTTTGGTCCAAGTAGCATAGGTGATTAGAATATTTCCAGGATTAGCCCCTAAATTTATGTGATTAGATGGTTATATATCTCACAGAGGACTAAAGATTTTGAAGGTCCAAGTTCTGCGTTCTACCATCTAAAAAATGTGGACAAAGACAGGGCATGGATTTTCTAAGATCTTCTGGAAAGAGGACTTCATGCACATCAAATTTCACAAATTCTATGAACTTACACATGACATGCAACTTCCACGTAAAAGCCCATTAACCTACAGATAATATTGTTCTAGGGAAAATAAAATTCCTTAGCTGTCATCCAAAACTCTAACATAATTGCGATAGATGATTCTGTGGATAGATCAATAGCATTGATTTAGTATTGTATGAGATGAATGGATAGCTCACAAAATCACATGGGCAATGGAATTGGTCAGGGGGAATATGACAACGGTCAAGAAATCAATTGGACAGAATCAGTAAGACAAGAATTTAATTGAAAGATAATCTAAGAATAGAAATTAAAATATTTTAAAAATCACAAGAAATAAATTATAAATTAAAATTTGAAACAAAAACTGATATGTTAAATGTTCTGAACTTCATATTTCATAATATACTAACTTGCTAAAAGAAAACAAGATCAAAATTTAAAAAATGAAAAAATTGTATAGAAGATAACAATGAAATAATGTAGAACAAGCAACCTAATAAATATTATTGATTTATACGATTAATCATATTATACAAAGATATAGATGTAGTAAGTAACTATGTATGTCTTATAGAAGACCTAACATCCTGTCCTCTTTGTTCTATTGATAGTGGATGATGAATAGTGCAACAATGGTATAAACAGCAAATACTACTATTGCGGCAAACAATCATAGTCATGTTTTCCTTTTTGTGGGGGACTCATCTTGTACTTCGAATTCCCTCCTCCTCTTTCCCTTCCACCACTTATTTTTTCGATTTTAAATATATCATATTACCCAGAACTTGCCAAAATATAATTACTCCCAACAAGTTTGATAGATTCTAGCTGTTGTATAATTTCTAGCCATGCATCAAAGAAATTTTTCATAATTGAATCAACCTTTAATAATATCAATAAAGATCAAGAATACATTGAAATCAACTGACAGCATGAACTATGGTTTAGTGTACCACTAGCCAAAACATTGGATCAATAGATTCATTAATAATTTGATTGAATCATAATAAACAGACTGGCCTGTGAGTTCTGCAAAATAGTTTTCATGCAAACTTGTTAACTACCCTATCTCCATGTCATTTAGCTTTGAGAGAGGCCTATCCACGATTAGCAAACGTGACTTAAAGACCAAACATACAAAAAAGAAGAGGGGGGGTGTGGGGTACGAGGTTCCTACAAGTGACTGTGGGACCTAATTGGCTTGGATTGAGGAATTTCACAAAGGCATCGACAATGTGCAACAAAGGAGGCCACTTACGGACCAAATAAAAAAAAAATTAGCTTTAGCATTAGGACAAGATTTTAATGACAAAATGTTCTCAGCTTCCACTCCCACGTGCAACAAGAGAAAAGGAACATTAAGAAGAAGCCCCACAAGCTAGCAATCTAGAACCAGGTACAATCCACTTATTTCAAAGATATTTAAATTATCCAAACATTTATTGACCCTAAGAACAATTGTAACCAATAAATTATCCTAAAATGTTTATGTATAAGTTAGCCTGTATCCTTGAAAAATAAAAGAATATAAAAGATGCTTTCGAACATGAAAATGGCCATAACTGTGATAGAAATCTTAAGACGTGTCAAATGTTTCATAAACAGTTAAAGTCTCACACCATAACTAGTGATTGCTTACAGTAAATAGCGAATGACCATAAGGCACACAATCAAATTATCAAACCAGAAAATTATTAAACAAAGAAACTTATCTGATGCAGCTAAAGGTGTACAGTCTAGAAAGTCAGTCCCAGAAGATGTACTGTAATATAATATCTTGCTATCATACAGTGCACTGTTATATTACGATGTTTTAATTGGAGAAAATGGTAAAAGTAGAAAAGAAATTAATCACCCGAATTACCTGATCCGTTCATTCTCATCAGCAGCAACTACAATAGGAGAAAAAGGCAAGAGCAAAGCAGCTTTTGTGCCAGTTTCAAACTTTGTGTACCAGCTTGCAATTTGATTCCCAAGTTTACTATTAGCTGAAACATGCATATACATGTAGAAAGTCAAATCCACCCAGATGGACAAAAGAACCAACAATGAAACATGATCAAACATCAATGCAACATAAATAGAAATAACAGAATAACTAGCATCCTACTCACAGGAATGTTGGCATTTAGCTATGCGATCTAAAGCAATTCTCTCTCTTTCTTCTCTTCTAGCAATAGTTTCTTCACTGTCATCGGCACCAGCAAGAAGTGGCCTCGAAAAATGACCACAACTCCAGTTGTAAATAGTTGATTGCGGGAGTAAGCTACGCTCAGAACCCCCAGAAGATCCAGAAGCTCCTAAAAGTGGATCAGCTAGTCCAGTGTCTGGAGAACTCAGTTGGTGTGGCCTGAACTCCAAAGAACACACACGACGCAATCCTGTCAGATAATTTTGTCGAGGAGGACTAACAGGAGGAGTTCGGAATGTCATTGATAACTGGCCTGCATAAATTAATCATTTAATACTGAAAAGTGCATATATACATAAGAATAAAAACCTAGAAAAATATCTTCTCTGCCAAAATAGCACATAATTAAGTGATGCCAAGTGATAAACCAATAGAAAACTATAAACAGGATAAAGAATGCTACAAGTCACGAACAATAAGAATCTTACCAGCATTTAAGTCAAACCATGAAGATGAGCGTGCTAACCCAGAAAGATTTGAAAGATGAGATGGAGCACAAGAATCTCCTTGGTGTATACCCCCAGCACCAAACCTTGCAGCTTTTGCAACCACTAGTTCAATACCAATTATAGAGAGTGCCCTTCGGCCAACGTTGGCAACACGCGGAGACGGATCTTTTGCCATGTTACACATGGCCAAAATAAATTGAGAATATTGAGCATTATCAAGAGGTCTTGCTCTAGGGTAATCAATGACCCCATTACTGGCAGTTTCTTTTATCAATATACCAGAATCCGAATGATGTGAAGAATCATCAGATAACGGAGAACCAAGCATAACGCCAGTTGATGTGACGGGACTACTTGTAGAGATCCTTCCATCTCGAACACCAGCAGTGTTGTCACTGCTACCCCTTAATACAGGACCAATGTTTGAGGAAATGGTGCTCCCTACCTGAATAAACTGACTTGGGTTATAGCAACTAGGATTGCTAATGCTAGCCAAAGATGGCAAGGAGCTCAGAAGGGAGTTAGCCTGGGGCTTCCAGTATTCAGCAGCAATTGACTTCAGATGCTTGTTGTGACCAAAGGAAAAGCGAGCAAGAGCTGTTAAACATGTATATTTCATAAATCAAACTAAGCAAATTATTCATCAAAGTCAATTTTAATTTGCTATAAAGAAATGCAAAAATGTTGTAAAGCCATGAAGAGGTAAATCCCCCAGCAAAATAAGAACCCAAAAAAGGACCTTAAGAGAATCTAGATTTTCAGGTACACTAAGAATGTTTTGATAGTTACACATACCAACAGCAACCTCAGCCCTAACCAAAGGACTTCCATCTGCAGCAACTTGCAGAAGACTTCTAATAATACTCAGCTCAGATTTTATTTTTTCATCAACATCAATGTCCTCAACACCTCCATGTCCCTCACCAAATGTGATGGTTCCAACATCAATAAGAGTACCCAAAGCGAAAGCAGCAGCAGCTCTAACCTGACAAACAGATTTTAAAATACATTAGATTGAAATTGGAGGATTTCAAACATTGATTACAAATATACAAAAGAATTCCTACCTCAGGTTGTGGTTCCATCAATAAAGGAACAATTATCGATGGCCCATCTGCTTGCAGACCTATGATTTGTGCTTCTGGAAAATCCTCCCAGAGTTTTCCCAGGCATAGACATAGCCACTGAAGAAGTAAAGGTTCTGTTTGCCCATCGCTTGGATTAGCGAGTTGCAAATGTTTCAAACAAACATGTATTAGATTTGCTTGAATGCATGCTTCTTGTCCTCGCCGATGTCCATCCACAACAACAGCTAAAACAAAAGCTGCCATTGCCCGTTGCTCAGGATATGCATCCATGCTGTCCAGAAACCTGATAAAATATGTGTGACCTCCATCTTTCACCAGATCTACCTGACAAGACTAATATTGCAGAAACAATGTAAACTCTGAATTAGTCAATTAACATATAGCAGGCCAACCACAAATATAAAATTACCAAAGGCTTTGTTTTCTCCAGAATATCTTGAACCAAACCAATTGATATAATTCAATTAGATCTACAACAAAATAAGAATTGACAGAAACACTATAATCCATGGTACACTATATTGAAGTAATATACCTTATCAAGCGCAAGAATCTTGGTCCAGATGAACACAAGAATTTGACGTAATTCAGTTGCAGTAGTTTGTAAAAGCTTTAGAACATAAGGAAATATCCCAACAGACAAGGCCTGAAAGAACCAAGGTTTTCAAATGAAATAAATTAGAACAGAAGTATAATTACATGTGCAAATAATGGAACAAAGACTAGAAATTGGCAATCACAGACCAGATCCACAGCCCAAGGTCCCATATCAAGGAATCTTCCTAACAGTACCAATGCTCGGAATCGATGAGATTGGCTTAACAAAACCTAGAGGAAAACCAATAAAATAATTAATTCAGCAACACTCAGGAGACCAACAAAGTAGAAGAGGAAATTGTAAAAACAATATGGAAAGTAAATCTGTTGTTAAGGACAAGAGAAATAAATTATTCTCCATTATTTCTCAATGCTATTTTTTATACAATTTCATATCTTCTAGCTTCAAAATTTTTAAAAAAGTTATATATCTTATGAAATATTAAGCTAACAAATTTTGGCATATAACATAGCTAAAACCTTGAATTTTATGTTCTGTTTCACTACAACAAATTTTGGCATATAACATAACAAATTTGTTAGCTATAACATAGCTAACAAATTTTGGCATATAACATATGAAATATTCTTTTTATTTTTATAACTTTTAAACAATTTTCAAGATCAATTCCAATCCTGCCAATCTGATCCAACCGGTTCTGCCAATCCAATTATATCATCCCTATCCAATCCGATCTTGATGCCAATCTTGCAAACTATAAAAAAATGTTCATGCATATAGTTGCCTTACATATGCAAAAAGAACACTTCCAAATAGATAAAAATGGTCGCCTTAATCAATATCCGCATGCAAAGTTGCAAAAGAGAGGAATGCACTGACTTTTCTGTAGCACTGCAGCTGCCTAACTCCACTATACTATCACTAGTAGCTTCCTCATCACAAAATATTAGATTGCACTAAACAATCTAGCTTGTTCGTTTTAGACAAACCTAAGGTATAAATTACATCATACAAACCCTCTTTTGTTGGTCAAAAATTAGCCATTTACAAACTTATGATGGTATATTTTTCACTTCCTGATTCAAGTATGGTGATATTACTAAATCCTGGCAATTCCAATATGGAGGTTCCCTGGCAAACGTAATATTTTTTGATAACATTTCCTGGAGTGAATTACACACAATATAACAAGTAAAATAAAAAAATGCAACAGGACAGCAGAACCAGCAAAGCGAATTTGCTTTAGCATATAAGACAAAATACTAAACAAAATGATAGGAAATGGGGATGTTCCTCTATCTTGAGAACTTACCTGGAGAACTATCGGCAACTGCTCTGGTGGCTTCTTATGCTCAGAACCATGATCCAGCCACACCTCAAAAGCTGTCAATTGCTCGGTGAAAAATGGGCTTGGCTGATGTTAACAAGTCAAAATATCAATCAGCAGCATAAGACTGATAACATAAAGAAAGCAACCCACGATACTATATGAGCAATTTGCCCATTCTATAGTATTCAGCAAGATGCTAAGACAGAAAATTAGAAGATATGATAAACAATGTCAAAGAAAACTGATACCTGAAATTCTGCATTTGGATCGGCAATCAACTGTGGAAGCTTAGACAAGCAAATCTCAGCAGCCATGTCCCATGCATCCCTGAAACAGGTATCGCTTATGCTAGAACACAGCCTCATAAAAGTGTACAATATTACACAAATAATACAGAGAAAGAAATAAAGAAAGGTTCCATATAGCTACCACATATGGTGCTGATGAGTTGGTGGCAACAATGGATAGGAAACAGGAGAGCAATTTGCAGCCCGCATTATTCGCTCAGCAAGTAGGAAATTTCGAAAAAGACTTGCAACTAGAAGATCTTGCCGAAACAACCTCTGAAAAAGATCTGCACAATTACATTAAAACTTTTGAACACCATCCTTCATCTTACTGGAAATTCAGAAAGAAAACCAATTCTAATACCATGAGGTAGGACATTCCATGCAATTGTGTCAGTGACAGCAGTAAAAATCCAATTCAACTCTCCTAGAAGTGTCTTTCGGTCATTTTGACGACCAGGAATTTGATCGATAAGAGAGTAACTAAGAGAACCACGGAGTAAAGAGCGAGAGCAAAACCTGAAAGAAAAGAAGCGGCTATGTTAAACACTTTAAATGTAGTACAATAAGTTACCAGAAATTGCAAATGCTTACATAAATTCATGAAAAATATTCTTTCTTTTAAACAATGTACAAAACTAGAACAAAAGATCAAGCTTAAAAGTTCTACATGGTACACAAAATTGTAGATGAAATGAATATGTCATGATAACAGAACCTCTAAAATTCATGAGCAAGTACTTGAGATCAATTTTTAAGAAGCACATACAGAAAAAAAAAAGGAAAGAAAACTGACCATCGCAATGCCATTTTAATTGGAGTGGTCAAGCAGGATGTGAACACATCAGCAGGAAATTCAGCACTCTGTGGAAGGGTTTCATGAGCTTCACAAGCAGCAAGCAGAATACAGTCCTTTGATGATGAAACCGTGGCACCAGAAGAATTCCACTCTTGGCGCTGGATACCAAAGAACAAGATTCAAAGATCATCAAAACATTGTATACCAACAAAAATTGCGCATTGAGAAACTGTGGTTAAAATAGTGAACCTCTAAAAAACCACTGATAATCATCCCCGCCGCAGAGCAGTCAAAGACATATATTGATGGTGTTTTAAGCCAAGAATCAAGCTCACTAATTGGCAATGGAATATATTGTGTATAACTCTGCTTACAAGGAAAAATATATCAGACAATTAAACATCTAGACAAAAGTAAAAAATCGGGCATAAATCACTATACTAGTATTATGGAGAAAAACCTTGTTGAAAACCCAAATTTCTCCATTAGCAGTAGGCTTTGGTACTCCGTGCCCATTATAATGGAAGAGAACTCTTTCTGACCTAGCATATTTGCGACAGGTATTGCAGAGCTTCTTTACTTCCTCCACAGTAGGATCCAGTTGAAGTTTATAACGAGCCTGCCATCCGGTCAAAGGTCATATCTACACCCAATGGTAAATACAATGTGTAATACAACAGCACCAAAGGTCAATTTTGGTTTTACCCGAGGTTGCCAACGCTCATATTGAGCATGCAATGCCTTTCCAATTGTTTCAAGGGCTTTGGGAGCAGCCATAGAATGTGGATCTGGTTAAGAACAAGAAAATATTCAAGTTTAGAAAGTTGATAGCAACTCAAAGTTAAAAGTGCGATCAACATTATAGAATATTAGCCAGAACAGCCTACACAAATTAACTTCTACATGCTCACATATGATAGTGCATCAAACACTGACCCAAAAAGTGAATCTGCAAAGCAAAGCCCTCAAGTATAAGATCATAATAGACCATGCAAAAGAAGTTCAAAATCAACAAAAAAAAAATACTGTAGCCTGAGTAAAAACACATAGGAAATGTCACCACGCAACAACTTCTGATTTTTAAAAAAATTATTCAGCCAAGAAAATTTGGTCCCACATCACTGAGTTGAATAACTAAAGGAAACATATTAAATTTTACAAATCCATCATCAGAGTAACTGCAAAATGTTATGCAACTGCAAAGTCAGAACTATTATATAATTAGCCTGATCTCCAATACCAATAATGCACAGATTGGTTACTAGTGATCAAAGCAAACACAAACATTACGATAACATGTTATTCCTGAAGTGATCAAACACTGTTATCTATCAACTTAACATGGATGATTCTGAGTAAAACAAACCCAATTGCAGCAGCAAGATTAAGCAGCAATTGAATGATTGAAGAGAACTTACATAGAAACCTTGTGTAACTAAACTATAAATAGCCAGCAAGAAAGACAGCTGGCGTAAGAAGTACAAAACAAAAAAAAGGCAGCATACTTGATAACATGTAAAAGGTATTTGAGCATATGTGAGCCAGTAGATCAACATATAGCGAGTAAAAGTAACCATACTTAACAAGACAAACTGATGCAGGAGCAATTTAATTTATATATTATCTGAATAAATTTTATTAGTTAGAGATTATTTGCATATGTGATAAGTTGTTAGATGACAACATCTACTCAAGGTGAAGAAAAAGGAAACAAATGCAGAAAAGAGTGAAAGAAAACAAATTCGTTATGGAATGAAGATTGTAAATCTTGATGAAAGATTTTAAAGATTCATCTCTACATATATGGAAGTTTATGAATTAATAATATCGTCAAACAAAGGAAGATTATCCTTCAAATCAAATCAAAAATATTTTCTTCTTCGAAGAAAGGAACAGATCATATATTTGATTTGATGTGATTGTAATTTAGTAATTTTCTTTTTATTCTTGTGCTTGAGCCTATAAAAAGGGGTTAGAACATTGTAATGCATCAATGAGAGATGAATTAATGAATCGTGTTATTTTCTCACCTTGTGTGTAAGTAGTGTGAGGCCACAATTATGTTTCTAATGGTAAAATTCAATCATCCACATGTGAGACGCGGAGGTGCGAGGCTCTCATCATGAGAGTTCGCTCCTTGAGCCAAAAGCGAGTCTAGTAGTTATCTCTTTATGTTTTTCAATTATCTTTCAGTTCTTATCTCTTTTTTTCTCTCTTTTTATCTCTCTATCATCAAAAAAAATCCATTGCTACTCGTCCTACATCACAAGCAACCTAAAAGATCCAACAGACAACAAAGGAAAAGAAGCATGAAGTACAAGATCCTCGACATGATCAGCACCGCAATGCTACAAAGAAAAGATGATGCATCTCAATAAAAACTGATTCAAATTTCAGTTAAATTGGTTATGTTGACTCAATTTTTTTTTATATATTCTTAAAGGATTTAAAGTATTCCATGAGCAGATTATGGGTGGTGGTCCCTATGTCAAAATGCTAATCTTAGTATCATTACTTCAGCATTCTCCTTTAGTTAAAAATTGGAAATATACAACTTAAATCTTAGCTCGAGGGAGTTCCAGTTGTGTTTAAATTGGAAAGACAAGGTTTAAGTCCTCCACCAGTCTTAGGAGGGACTAAACTCTTCCATTTAGTATGAGTGAAGCATTACATACTGAAATATTACTGACATAATGGACTATTAACAGAGTCGGTTCTTTATGATTGACACCTTATTTTTACCTTCCTCTCTCTTTCTTTATGCTTGATTCATGTTTGTAGCATACTTGCTTTTCATGGCTTCAATCAAGGATAGTGATGAGGTGTGGAGCCGCCTAGCTCTCCACTGCCCACTGTGAATTTACAAGCCCTCTTCTCCATCTCAACACGGGGAACCCATTGTGGTCCACCACAGCACATCGCCAACCTCTTTTCAGGTATGCTTCCTCCTCCACCGCCTCCTTTCTTCCTCCTTACTCCTGTTTGTCTTCCTCCATCACTTCCTCTTCCTCCTCTTCTTCCACCGCTTCCTCTTCTCATTCTTCCTCTTTAGTACCTACTGTTCACACTGGCATCAGCACTAAAGGTATGTATCGGTCCAGCTGGGACCAGTACAATGTCTGGTATGAGCTTGCAAT